ACTGTACTACCACCGCAAGGCGTCACACGGGGTGGCTACGCTCAGATATTCTTAGAATTCCCCGCAAAAGCTGGCGTCGCTCTGCCTTACTGTACAGAGGACTTTGCCAGGCAGTCATAGGCTGCATTCGCACAGTGAGAAGGCGAGAGACCAACAGAAGGTGTGAGCAGAAGCCTCAACATTACCCAATGGGAAGACGAGAGACCAGAGCGAGCGTTGATGAAGGCTGTAAACCGTACTTTGAACTGTCTCACAGCATTCTAGCTTGTTGTCGATTGGTTACGAGTGGAGTGGAGGCAGGTGGACGACGCCGGGCAAGAACAGCAGCATACTCGGTAAAACGAGATGCTATGCCTTTTAGAGCGGTTTGCTTGCTCCACCGCTTTGAACCGCCACCCACCAGTCTAAACAGTGATTCGTGAACTGAAATCGAATAGGCCTGACACGCGTTGTCATTGCGATACCCGTCACACGGGTTATAGTCCCGCAACCATTTCTATGCGTAGTGCCCTTCAAACCATTGTGGCAAACGCAGTGAACGTGGAATGGGACAGAACTAAAACTCAATTACTGCCCCTGCTTTGGCCAAAGTTTCGGCGGGCTGGAACGCAGTGGAAATAACCGTCTTAAACCCTTAATGGTGTCATGGTTGAGATTCATGTTCTTGCGCGTACAGCTGCGTTGGTTCAACAGTTTCGAGTAGTGGTTTCTCGAAGAGGTAAAACCTGTAGGGAAAGAAAATAGAATGGGAGTGTAGTGTGCTTGTGCGGGTTCATAAATTGTGACGGCTTGTTTGTTCAGAATCCTGACTGAACTGAAAACTCTCGAGTAAAGCTGCCTGAGATCTCAAGGAATAAATCCACACTGGACAGTGGGAGGAGATGAAACAAGAGGAGCACTGAGGTGAGCAGAAGTAAGTGGGCCCTGTCAGCCGATGGGATTTCTGGAAACAGAAGCTTCTGCGTGTAGCTGGAGAAGGATGCACACCTGTAGGCCCTGTTCGGCAGCCTTCCATTCACACTGGGCCCACTCGAACTGGGGAAGCCTACAACATGTTTCGTAGCCTCGGGCGTCCACTCACACTGAAAGGAAGTCTCGTCCACAAACGCAACAAGTACCGTGTGTTTCTCGAGAAATTACTGGTCGAAACTTTTACTTCTGTAGGAGGCTGCCCAAATCACAAACAAAAAAACAGCCTGCCAAGTTTAACACCCTCGATATGGATAAAAGAAAATCACGAACGGGCACGATCTCTCGTTGTTTGAAAGAGCAGGCTGAAAAACGTAATTTGACCCGATTAGAAACTAATGCAGCGTTTACCCTACAGCGTACAACTCAGAGCGGGCCTGCCTGAGTGGAACTGGAAAGCAGAAATGGGGCTGACTTTCACTGGCGGTGGAGCTTGCCTGAGCAAGCATTTTCGTGGTAGCGTCCTCAACTTCACTCGGGCTGGGTTTCACGCGTTCGGCAGGTATGGTGTTCTAATTACGGTTTGGTGGGTTTTAAGGTGAGTCGAAATTGGGCTGAGGAAGAGCTTCTGCACCAACCGCAGTGTGACTGGGGGGGCTACCGAACAGGGCCGTAGTGTGCACCGTCGTTTTTTCAAAATTTTCTGCCCCGCGGACCTTCCTTGTGGTCCAAAAGTGCTTTCTCAGAAATGTCGCGTTGCGAGAAAGCTGGGAGAACCGCACCAACCCACCCAATGAAAAGCGCTACGCATGTCGTGAATCTGGGATTTCTCCAAGTGCTTTCTCAGAAATGTCGCGTTGCGAGAAAGCTGGGAGAGCCGCACCAAACCACCCAATGAAAAGCGCTGCGCATGTCGTGAATCTGGGAATTCTCCAGGTTCCGTGAACGCGCGCCACCGCTTTTGTTGGAAAAGCGAGGTTGGGCTGGGCGGCGGTGCGTGTGTCACAAAAAATGGTGACTCAAAAAGAGTTGAGGTTTGAGGCTGCATTCCGCTGCGGTCACATGTCCCAATCGATGTGTCCCAATCGTTTTTACCGTACTGCATCGTATAAAACCACATCGCACCCTAGTTTCGAAATTTTCGCATCTCTGATTTAGTTCGGTTCGGAGCGGTACACCCGATTGGGACACATCGATTGGGACATGTGTCCCCAGCGGAATGCGCCCTGAGTCCATCTGAGGGAATGGGCTTTCACTTGAGACCAGTAAACAATGACAAGGGGGAGTCAAACATTTCTCTTTTGCTTGGAAAAACGAAGGGATTGATTTGAATGGTGTTCAGCAATCCATGGCACTTTTGCCACCTTCATGAACATCATCGTTTCGCCAGGTGCGTGTCGCCAGCTGTTCAAAAAGCGTGGTTCGCTTTACCCGTTATTGAACGGAGCGGTGCAAACTGCAATAATCACTGTATGGTTCTCCCATTACAGATACAGTCAACAATATGTTGTATCATCCACAGTAATTCCACATCGACAGGTTGTTTTCCGACCAACAACCCAACACTATGAACACAATGATGAGGACTGCTCTCGATGGCAGACTAGTATGCTTACTTGTGCGCAGTAGAAGCAATAAGGTCATGTTTCTTGTGCTATTTGTGAGTTCATATTTCTTTGGATGGTAAATGGGATTGCGATGAACTTGTCAGAATGATTATTAGTGGGGTACTCTATTGTGAGTACATCCCTATTAAGGCTTACTATATGTATTCCATTGCTTACGAGTGAAACCTCTCTTCTTCTGTTAACCATTATAGCTTCTTGTTCTGACATGCTATCAGAGCGAGTACGCTCCTGGCCTGTGGGCCCACCTGCTTCCGCTGTTGTTCTATCTGTCGCGCGCCCCGTGAAGCGCGACGTTTTTTCTTTCCGCCACGCGCCCGGGGCGCATGGCGATTTTTTCTGCCCGCCGCACGCTTCGGGCGCGCGGCGGTTTACTGCTCCCGTCGCGCCGCCCCGGGCTCCCGTCGCGTCGCCCCCCGTGCACCCGTCGCGCCGCCCGAGGCTCCTGTCGCGTCCCCCCCCCCGTGCACCCGTCGCGTCGCCCCGGGCTCTCGTCGCGTCGCCCCCGTGCAGCCCGCGAGCTGCTCTGTGCGCCCCGCGCGACGCCTCGCTGGACTCGCGCGCTGCCCCGTGAAGCCGCGCGCGGGCCCTGTGCACCCGTTGCGTTGCCCCGTGGAGCTGCACGCGGCCCCCCGTGCGCCCATCGCGCCGCCCCGTGGAGCCGCGCGAGGCCTTTCGTGCACCCGACGCGCAGCCCTCCCCCCCCCGCCCCCCCACTGTAGCCGCGCGACAACCTCCTGGTGTGGGGGTGGGGGGTATGGGGTGGCTGGTATGGGGTGGCGAGTGTGTGAACTCCCCTGCTCGTCCTCCTCCTCCTCTCTCCCACCGCTGCAGCTGCTGCTGAAAGGGGGGGGGGGGTGTATGGAAGCCGTAAGAGTGGTGGTAGAGATGCTGGGGGGGATGTGAGAAAGGGGTTGGGGGCTGTTACAATATGAAGTTTCATGAGAAGGCATTCCTGTATGCTGCAGGAGCCGACTCTACCGAGTACGAAGTCGAGAAGTCAGAAGAGTCGAAGCGACGCAGCAACCGTCTGACCAAGACCGATGCAGGCAGAAACATTTGAAGTGAAAAGAGCGGGAATAGGTTCAAAACAGGTTCAAAACGGGTTCACGCGCCGCACAGTTTGAATTCGCTGCAATAAGGGAATGTACCCCTTAGATTACATGGCTAGCCTAGGACTTTTCGTATTCCTCTGTATTATATAAACTTGATGTATGCATGCTATTATCAACTCAGTCATTTACATTCACTCTGACCTGAGATTCAAACTTCCGCTGCAACACTACTTTGCGATCAACCCTGAGCAATCCTTTGCTAAGTCCCTTTTGGGATTGTAACAGGGGCAATAGGGGGAGGTTGACCGGAGGTAGCCGTTGTGGAGCCAGCAGCGCCTGTAGTCCGGATGTCCTTGCTCCGGTAGCCAGCGAGCCCGTTGCGCCAGTCGCCCGTGGGTTCGTTGCTCCACCGCTCGTCTTAGCCGCGGCGCTAGTTACTCCAGTAGTCCGCGGCCCTTGCTCCGGTAGCCAGTGTGCCAGTTGCTCCAGTCGCCTATGTGCCAGCAGCTTCAGCAGCCGCCTCCAATCTCTTCTCCTCTCATAGTCCCTCCTCCTCCCCACGAACCTTCTATGTCTGCCACTAGCTTTACTTGTGCTTGTGAACTTATTATGCGACTGCTTGCTGTGATAATTATACCCCATTTTGCCTATGGGGGTGTGTCAGAATGTTATATTTGTCTAGTCTGCAGTATGGTACTCTATAGTGAGTACATGTCAGAATCCCAACCACTAGACCAGTGGGATGAAAGGGCTTGTTAAGTAGCGGGTCAGTGCGCCCATAACCCCCCAGGCCAACATGCCTGTAACATTTCCCTAGGATCAACCGGGGATCACCAATGGACCTCTGACAGTACAGCCCTGTTAGGGTTTGCTATGTGTAACCCATTGCTTGCCAGTAAAACCTCTCTTCTTTTGTTATCCATTCTAGCTTCTTGTTCTGACAAAAGTTGATGTATGGGGACAAATAAATGCAAAGTAATTTAGGTACCTCTGTTCCATTCTTTTCGTGTTTGTTGGCCCCCTCATTCTGCCTGGCCAGTTCTTATTTTGCCAGCCATGATCCCATATCTATGCAACCCTACTTGGGCTATCACACTGTACCACTGCCAGCATTGCTGCCCTGCAATGGACCAAATAACGTGCCTGCCCCACCAGGTCGCATATAGTGTCAGCAATAAACAACAGACAGTAATCACATGCTTAGCATCCGCGTTTAGCCTAGTAGTTTCTCGTTACATGATTGTTGGCAGGTAACCTATGTAACAATCCGTAATTCACTGGTCAATTCACATACATTCCTCACAATAGAATCTGCCTGGCTACATTCAACTACAGTAAGTCATCCCGTAGCATGTACCAGATTTGAGAAAGACCAGCCAAACATGCTGCTGAGAGCACAGCACCAGTCGCATCACATTGCCTGGACGGCAATCTCATCTGGCGGCATATCCGGCACAACTCCCACTTCGCTGCTCAGCTCCCCTCCATTGCTCCCCGCCTGCAGCCACAAGCTCACTACTGCTGTGAGAAGGAGCACAGAAGCATCCAAGTTTTGGGAAAAAAAAACATAAGAGAGACCGGAGGAAAACGGAAACGGCAACAGCAGCATTCCACCACTCTCCGCCCTTGAACAGCATCAACCGGAGAGTCGAAAGGAGTGGTAAGCATGTGCTAAGCCCCGTCCATACCCCTCACCGTTTTCAGAATAGCCCACCTTTTTTTGGGAGGGTTCGGTGGATCGTTGAGGCCAGGAGTTCAGATCGATCATGCCCCCCCTGCCTTGATTCCCCTCCTCTCGCTTCTGGTGCTGCTGCTGCTGCTGCTGCTGCTGCTGCTGTTGCTGCTGTTGCTGCAGCTGCTCCTGCTGTTGTTGCTGCCGCTGTTGCTCGTGCTGTGGCTGATATTCCTGTGCTTCTACAGCAGGTGACAACAACGCAGGGATCTCATCATCCCCCACAGCTATAGCCACAGCAGGGGCGTCACTCACGTTGCCCATAACCATACTCCTAGCCCCCCCTTCCTCGCCTCCTCTCCCTCCTCCTGCTGGCCCCGCTTTCCGAACCCCCATCCCAGTCCCCATCCCCATCCCTATCCCCAACCCAGCAGCACCGGACCGCAAACCATACAACCCATTCCCTGCCACTGCCCCTACCCCTACCCCACCCCCACCCCCTATCCCTCCCCCTACCCCTCCCCCTACCCCTGCCCCAGCCCTCTCCTGTAGAGCGCTCCCACTGCCCCCCTCTCCCCCACCCCCCCTTCCGCCCACGTTCAAGGTCAGAGCCCGCATTGTCCCCGTCGCCGTACCTGTCAACCCTCCCGATCCTCCCCCACCCTCTGTCCCCCCCGCTCCCCCTGTCCCTCCCCTGCCTCCGCCTCCTGTCACCCCTCCTCCACCTCTTCCTCCTCCACTTCCCCCCGCCCCTCCTCCACCCCCTCCGCCTGCTGCTGTCCCGCCTGATCCCCCCTCGCCCCCATGGGTTGGAAGCACCACGCTCATTGGCGTTGGGTCGTTCTCCCTCCCCCCCCGTCTCCCCTCCCTGCTGCATGTGCATGATCTCGTCCTCTTCTCCCCCTCTCCCTCCTCCTCGTCCGCCCATTTCACCATCCTTACCTGCAGCAGGGCTAAAACCGGCACCATTGTCAATACCTCTCCCTCCCTCACCATCCCCACCGCCATCCACATTCCCCCCACCTTGCCACAAACCAACCCCCCCTTGCACGTTCCCCTGACCTGCCCCCATGTGCCCCCGCCCCCCATGCACATTATTCCCCACGTTCCCGTTCCCCATGTTCCCACCTCCCATATCTGCATTTCCCATGTTCCACATGTGGTTACCAGTAGGGTTACCAGTCGGGTTACCACCCCCACCACCCCCCTGCGCGCCTGGGCGGAGTTGGTGGTCCGGAGGGCCCCCCCCTGGGGAGGGGAGGGCAGGCTGGGTGGGGTCTTCAGCTGGAGCGGGGGGAGTCTTGGGGAGCTGGGGGGAGAGAGGGGGTAGATGGGAGGGGGGGAGGGGAAGAAGGAAGGCGGAAAGAGGAGCAGGCAAAAGAAAGGGGAAAAACAGGACAAGGAGGGGAAAGTGAGAAGGGGAGAGGAGTGAGGTAGGGCGGGATGGGGTTACCACCCCCACCCCCTCCTGCCCGCCTGGCCGGAGTAGATGGTCCGGAGGGGTTCCCCCTGGGGAGGGGAGGGCGGGCTGGGTGGGGTCCTCCGCCAGAGCAGGAGAAACCTTGGGGAGCGGGGGGGAGGGAGGTGGCAGGTGGTGAAAACGGGGCGGGGAGGGGAATAGGAGGTGAGAAGAGGAGCGAGGGGAAGGGCGGGCTGGGTAGCGCCTGGGGGGAGTAGGTGGTCCGGAGGGGTTCCCCCTGGGGAGGGGAGGGCGGGCTGGGTGGGGTCCTCCGCCAGAGCAGGGGGAGTCTTGGGGAGCCGGGGGTAACGGGAAAAGAGAGGGTGAGGGGGAAGGGGCGGGAGTGGGAATGGGGGAAAACGGGAGGTAACAAACAAAAGGGAGGGGGGGTGAGGAAAGTTGCGGGCTGGGTAGATTCTTTCGCCAGAACCGGGGGGAGGAAGGGGGGTGGGGAGCGGGGGGGAGAGGGGACGAACGGGGAGGAGGGGGAACGAGGGAGGAGGGGGAACGAGGGAGGAGGGGGAACGGGGGAGGAGGGGGAACGGGGGAGGAGGGGTAGGCGGAAAGAGAAAGGGGAGGCGAGGGAAAACAGCTGGGAGTGGAGAGGGGTGAGGGAGGAGAAGGGCAGGGCGGGCTGGGTGGGGTCTTTGGTCCGAACAGGGGGAGTAAGTGGCCATCCCTGACAACCCTGCGTCATAAGAAACGTCTCACCTCCCACGCTGCCCCATGAGCAGGTACCGCTCGTGTGCCTTCTTGCCGCCTATGTGCACGTCGAGGCCAGGTATATGCCTGTGAGTGCATCCCTCGCCTTACCTCCACGCGCTGCCCCACCCACATCCCTTGCCCCCCACCATCCTTCCACCACATCACCCCTCGCCTTACCTCCACGCGTTGCCCCATGAGCAGGTATCGCTCGTGCGCCTTCTTGCCGCTATGTGCACATCCAGGCCAGGTGGGCCTGTGAGCGCACCCCACAGGTCAATTAGCCCCCACCACTCACCGCCTCTGATCCCTCTCCCACCCCCTGACAGCCCCTCACCTCCACGCGTTGCCCCATGAGCAGGTATCGCTTGTGTGCCTTCTTGCCGCCTGTGTGCACATCCAGGCCAGGTGGCATGTGTCTTGTGAGTGAAGCCCACAGACGGGTCAAGTCAAGGGTTAACCAGCCCCCACCCCTACCCTCGAGGGTCTCACCTCCACGCGCTGCCCCATGAGCAGGTACCGCTCGTGTGCCTTCTTGGTGCACTAAAGAGTGGATAGATTCCCAAACCCCTCAACATCCCCTCTGACCGCCGCAAACCGCTCTTCCATCCCTTGTCTCACCTCCACGCGTTGCCCCATGAGCAGGTATCGCTCGTGCGCCTTCTTGCCGCCTATGTGCACATCCAGGTCGCACTGCAGACAGAGAGACGTGCCGTCCACTGCACAGTAGAAGAAGGCTGTGGGAGAGGCGGGAGGGGTTAGTGATTGGGGGCAAGAGCGGGATGGGCAGCATGAGGGGTGTGGATGGGGAGGTTGGAGCGTCCCTATGTGCACTTCCAGGTCGCACTGCAGACAGAGCGACGTGCCGTCCACCGCACAGTAGAGAAACGCTGTGGGGGCAGGGTAGGGGTTGGGGGAATGGGGTGGGGGAAGGGGGCGGGGAAAGGTAGTTTAAGAAAGGGGTGGGGAAAGGGGTTTGTGCGGATGGGTAGGGGGGGACGGGCTTCAGATCAGTGGCACAGCAACGTTCACAGATCTGTGCCATTTTTTTTTTTTCTTTCTTTCGTTCTTTCTTTCTTTCTAAGCGGGGTGTATGCATGCATAGTTCACTGTAAATTTCTTGCAGATGTCACAGCGGGGGATGGGGATGGCATGGCGCGCGCCTCTGCCAGTTCTAGGCGCCTCTGCTGCATGCAATCAGAATGCCACGCCAGTCCAGACATAAGCCCTCCCGGAAACAACCACTCACCAGGCGCGTTCTCGCAGATGTCACAGCAGGGGATGGGGATGGCATGGCGCGTGCCTCTGCGAGCTCTCAGCACCCCTGCACGCTACTCTCCTCACCAGGCCATTTTTACGCCCTTCCACTCACCCCTCCAGCTCAATCCACTAGTACTCACCAGGCGCGTTTTCGCAGATGTCAATTCTACTTTTGAGAAATCTGATTTTTTTTACTACTTTTGAGAATTCTCAAAAGAACAATTCTTTTGAAAATTCTCAAAAGTAAAATCCACTCACCCCTCCCGCTCAACCCACCACTCACCAAACACATTCTCGCAGATGTCACAGCGCGGGATGGCGCGCGCCTCTGCACGCTATACTCACCAGTCCCGCTATAAGCACGTTATTCAGCCCCCTTAAAAGCCCCCCTAGGGGCTTATAAGGCACTCACCAGGCGCGTTCTCGCAGATGTCACAGCGCGGGATGGCGCGCGCCTCTGCGAGTTCTAAGCGCACGTGGCGGCTGGCCAGCTTGTTGCACCCATGCACCTGATGGTGGGGCGGGGGGAGAGGGAGGGAGTGGGAGGGAGACGGACAATTGCCCTGGCGTGCTCCAGGCGCACGTGGCGGCTGGCCAGCTTGTTGCACCCATGCACCTGATGGTGGGGCGGGGGGAGAGGGAGGGAGTGGGAGGGAGACGGACAATTGCCCTGGCGTGCTCCAGGCGCACGTGGCGGCTGGCCAGCTTGTTGCACCCATGCACCTGATGGGGAGGGGAGAGAGTGAGGGAGTGGGAGGGAGACGGAAAATTGCCCTGGCGTGCTCCAGGTGCACGTGGCGGCTGGCCAGCTTGTTGCACCCATGCACCTGATGGGGAGGGGAGAGAGGGGAGGGAGAAGAGGGTGGGAAGGGGAGGGAGAAGAGGGTGGGGAGGCAGGGTAGGAGGTTGGGCTATGCATATTGGTCAGAGGGGGGTGGGGGGGAGAGCAGAGGGGAGCAGGCATGGGAAGAAGAGCAGTAAAGAGCCAGTCAGCACTACACTAAGTTTTTGCAAACTTAGTATAATGCTGTGCAATGCAGAGCAGCGAGTTACGAGTAGCTAGTGACGCGGCTGTTACCTTGTTATCGCATGCCAGGCATAGCGCCGCCTCGTCTGCAGCACAGAACACCTTGGCGGGCGCCGCCTCGCACACGTCGCACAGGATGCGCATAGCTGCTTGCCGCAGCTGCCCGGTGCTGCTGCCGCTGCTGCTGCCACTGCCACTGCCACTGTCACTGCCGCGCAAGTGGGTGTTCCAGCTACGTCCCCTCCCTCCTTTCGGTAGTTGCTGCGGGTGGTTGCTGCCCGTCCACTGCCGGAATCCCCTTGTATCTAGCGCTCTGGCAGAGGCGTGGCCGAGCCTGGAGGTGCAGGTTGGTAAGGCACCGCCTGCGGTGTAGGCTCGGTGTGGCACAGGGCGTTGGCCCTTCAACCGCGTTTGGTAATTTCGCGCTGAGCTCGAATCTGGTGGTTCAGCAGACTTCTGGGTCACCTCAGAAAGTTAGATAACCTCACGATGAGCTCGTTTCTGGTTTAGCAGGGACTGAAGGCTTGTCGAAGCCACAAGCCACAATATCTTCTTGACCGTTCGAAGTGAGTTTTAGTTAAAAGTGGGTGTTACTTGAAAGCAGAAGCGAGGTTTTCAGAAGCAAGTGTTTTTCTTCGAAGCAAGAAAGGGGAGTTACTGGAAGCGACCGTTACTGTAACGCGAGTCAATCATGCATGGTTGCGTGAGACATTTTCGAAGGCCGCTTCGGGAAAGAAACTCTACTTCGCGAAGGACGAGAGAACAAGGACCTCAACGACAGAACTAAAGGGGAAGGGCCATAGTGACTCGTGCGGCATTGTGAGCGCTAACGACATAGGCGGCTTATCAAGAAAGTCTGTTCCATAGAATCAGGACTCCTAGCGACCGAATCAGGACTCCCTCGGTTTTTGGACCCGACGGACCATCGATATTTTTAACAAGTTGCTTGGTGACTTGTAAGGAGAAACTACTTGGAATGGCAGGTGATAGTACGCCGGCAATCACGTGACAGCAGCAAGCGGGGGGTACTACGAGAAGCTGGAATTTCCTAGGCGTACTAAGCGGCAATGAATGTCGGCAACATATTACTGCGGCTCATGATGGTGACATTGCAACAGAAGAATTCGCAGCTGGTCGTTCAAGAGCTTTCTTGTCGCATGTTTCGTCGCATTTGTCGCATGCCTGTGCGATGGTGATCGCAGCAGAAGGACGGTGCAGAATTTGTTATCTTGAAAAGAAATTAACGCGGAATTCGGATGTCGGGTTTCTTCCAGGCTGTCAAACCTAGCGCATGTTCGCATTGACGTGGCCTAAACCGCGTGACCAGGGCATTAGGGGGCTGTGAGTGGAAATTCCTGGTTTATACAATCTTCTGGGTTGAAATCGGCCCCTGCATCAGCATTGCATAGTGGGTCACTTGCACTACGTAGAATCCCACCGGGCGATGAGGAAGCAGGAGACTAGTGGTCCAGGAATATGCTGCCTTGAAAACGACGTGGATTCACGTGAACGCTGTGCTGTACAGGAACTGAGAGTGGGCAACTAAAAGAATTAATAAAGGATTGGCTAAAATTAAACAGCAATGAGAAGGTGACGCGCTGTAAATCTAAGAAGATCGTTCGGTATGAGAAGGCTGTGGCTGAGCTCGAGTGTCCTGGATAGGATGCAGCTATGGCGGCTTTGTGATGGCTGAAATCATTCCTGTGGTTGAGAGTCACCCTTGAGAGCTTCGGCATGGCACGGCAGCATCAGGGGGAAGAGCTCTCAAGGGTAAGTTTACCCTGTAATAGAAACAATTTACTGGGCTGACTCTGGTTTACCAATGATATAAACTCTCCCACTTATGAGACTCAATGAGAGTTGACGGGTGCTGCACTCTTAGTTACGACTGCAGTTGTGTGCTTCTACAGTTTACGCTCTAGCTCACCACTGGGCGTTGAAATTTCCTCTGCCTTCAAAAGGCCCGAAGCGTCTTGCAAAGTGCAGCTGAGCCACAACCTTTGGCGCGAGCGAGGCCAATCTAGTTCTGAGGGTTGACATTGTGCCACGCTGGCTTCAAAGCAGCACCACATCTGACCCTCGTTTTCCGCAAAAGAGATTTTCGCCTGTCAAAAAGGAGGTCAGAAAAACAACCGCGGTATATTCTTGACCCGAATATAGTCCTTAATAGCAAAACATGATTATGCAATGTTACATATTCTGGACTCACCCATAACTACTCTCGAACGCTGGAGTGGCTTAGAAAGATTCAGAAACATTTTTAAGTTTAATTAAATCAAATCTCTGTCCCCATTGCTGTATTGGATTATGTTTTCAGCTGTTATAAATATACACTTGTAATCTCTTCTGAAAGGATATGATGGTAACAATGGCAAACCTATCATGTATAGCGGAATCTACTCCTTACCGTGTCAACGCAATCCGATAGGCTGGGCTGGCTGGTTGACTGCCCTTCTTCCCTGTTCGTTCTTTTCGGAGATTTCGAGGAATACCGTCGAAAAGATGCATCAATAGCAGGCCCTTGCTTGTTTGCATCGAGGCAACGAGCAAACTGGTAGGAACTACCTGTAAACTGACAAGATGGAATCATGAAATTCTGTTGCTCACAACCGTCCATCCTTCGGCAAAATCGGTGCTGTTGAGAAAGCTTTTTATTGACGCTTGACGCTGCCATTCTCACTTGTCTCCCTTTGAGCTTTCCTTTCTCTTGGATTTTTCCTGTCGTTCCTTCTGCTCTAGCCGACCAGGTGTACATACACCGCCGGTTGCGTGCATGACATCGAGAGTGTTCAGTCAGTTTCGTCGTGCGACCCGACCTGGTCGGTGATTTGCCACGCGGCGAAACAACCGCGTCTGTCCTTCCCTGATTGGCTCCTCAAGTGTCGAAACACACAGATTCGCAATGCTTACTGGAACGCATGTATCAACCAATGCCGTGACAGTCCAAACATCCTCCATCACAGAGTCGATACCAGCCTCAACCTCTATCGCGACCTTGCCTCGCTTTTGGAGATACTCTTTCCTGGTTCTCCTTGATTCCTCCCGAGGCTGCAAGTTATCTGATGAGCGTATTGTTCAACACTCTTTTCATTCGCGTAGAATAAGGCTGTCTGTGCTTCTTCCTGCGTAGGCCAGGCCTTCGGTTTCTCAATATACGAAGGGTGCTTTCGGTTCCAGTGGAGGAATTCGTACATTTACAAGGATAAAACACCAGCACTACTTGAATCTCGTTCTTCTTGCCGTCCCCATGACGCTACCTTCCTACGACCGGCCCCTTCGGGACATCGCTGCTCCTCCTAGGATCCGCTCCCGTGCAGTTTCGAGGAAAGTCCGTGCCCGACCTCACTCCTTAACGGGCTCGTTGCTAACCAGCGACCATCATTCGCCACCAGAGCTTCGCAGCAGCGTCTATGGAAAAACGCCAGGGAGGTACCAGGGAGTGGAAGTCACGACTGCTCAACACGGAGCCATTGGAACGCAGAGATTAGTGACTCTAACCGTGAGAGGCAGCTATGGGAGTGTTTCTGGCCTCTGCAAACCCAGACACGAAGATTCCGGTACCTGCTTTGGTCCCTCAAGCACTTCGTCTGCTCCACTGTTGAAGAGTGAAGTTGGTGAATCAGCTCACCATCCACTCGCCGGTTTTGCCACGTCAGCTGGCCGAGGGAGGCGGAGCAAATGGGCTCGTTTTTCGGTTTCTGTTCTACCTGCTGATTTCTCTGCTGGTGCTGGGAGCAGCAGTGACACGTGGCACGCCGTGATAGGAAGTGTTGAGGATTTAGCATTTAACGTCGCACCGGATGTTGCATTGACTGGGGCATTAGATTCAATGGGTGACCTGCTGGTGGGAGCGGCTCTGGCTCTTTCAGGCTTTGTGATTGGTGCTGCTGTTCGTGATGTTGGCTCACTTGGTGTTGCTGCTGGCGCTGGTGCTGTCGCTGCTGCTGCTGCCGCGGGTGCTGCTGATGGTGATGACAATGATAACGGTGCTACTACTGCTACCTCTGCTGCTGCCTCTGCGTCTAGCGTTGGTCCTTGGAGATCAGATGCATCGGAGCAAGAGGAGGTTTGTGGAATAGAAGACGGAGGATGGGTGAACAGTGATTCGGAAACAGAATCAAGTCAAGGTTTGGGAATGGAAAGTGGTGCGGAGTTTTTCTTGCTGCCCGATTTCGACAAACGCGGCCTCCAGAAGTATTTTCTGGCTCGGTGCCCGTCTCTTCCCCCTGCTGCTGCACCAAACATGCTCTTCCAGAAACCGCCTGATTATGCTCCTGCTGTGAGTGCTGATGGAACCAGAAAGGCTAAAGTAGGGATCGGAAAGACTGAGATCGGGATCGAATATACTAAGCTGCAAAGTCTCGGATTCCAACAGCAGATGCCACTTCTGGAGATTCACTCACCTCCATCTTGGGAGGGTTCTGATGCACATAGAGAGGTAACCAATGGGAGCGAGATTCTTGGGCGGCAAGTGGACGGCGCAGCAACGCAGAGAGAGCTTTCGGGGCGGCAGCAGCTGGATGGAGCTGCAATCCAGAGGCGGCTATTTGGGCGGCACTGCATCTCCACGCCAGATGGCGGGACCTTATCCCTGGATTTTCTCAAGAACCTGCCCTCAGGTTTGTCACAGCCTATGGGATCACAACCTTCAAAGGGACATCAGGTGCAGCAGCAGCAGTTGGGGCTGAGGGAGCAGCTGAGGGCAGGTTCGGGCATGGTGGTGCTGGTGGTGGCAGGCACAGCAGCAGGCAGCGCGGACCCCTTCATTCAGCGCCTGGCGTGCAGCATTGCTGCCAGAGGCCACGTGCCCGTAGTTCTCAACCTCAGAGGATGTGGTAACAGCCCCCGTTACCTCCCCACGGTGAGGTGATTGTGGTGACTTTTGAGTCCCATTCAAAAGGCACGGCAGCAGGCAGCGCGGACCCCTTCATTCAGCGCCTTGCGTGCAGCATTGCTGCCAGAGGCCATGTCCTCCCCGTGGTTCTCAACCTGCGAGGTTGCGGTGGCAGATCCCCGTTACCTCCCCCCGGTGAGGTCGCTTGGGTGCGTGAATGTGAGATTCTTCGGTGAGGCACTGCTGTGGGCGTGAGGGAGAGGGGAGTCATCGGTGTGCTAAAGGCAATGTCATTCATGTTTCCTTGATCACCCCCCTGTGACTTCCCCCGTGACTCCCCCTGTGACTCCCCCTGTGACTCCCCCTGTGACTCCCCCTGTGATCCCACTGTGGACTCCCCTGTGACTCCCCCTGGACTCCCCCTGTGGACTCCCCGGTGACTCCCCGTTGACTCCCCCAGTGACTTCCCCCTGTGACTCCCCCTGTGACTCCCCCTGTACTCCCCCTGTGACTTCCCCCTGTGACTCCCCAGTGGACTCCCCCTGTGACTCCCCCTGTGACTCCCCCTGTGACTCCCTTGTGACTCCCCTTGTCACTTTCCCTATTTGTTATCGCATTACCATTCCCCTTGTCTCTCGTCGTGCTCCCTTCATCCCCTCCTGTCTACTTCCCTCCTTCCCTTCTCCATCCCCTTCACCCTCCCTCGTGTCCTCCATACCTCCCCACCCGTCAGCTTCTTCTCACCAGCTGACAGCGCGACGTGGCACTGACAGCCAATTTCCTCACAGCTTCCTACTCGGATTCCCTACTAGTGGCCGTGGGAGTCGGCTTGGGGGGGCATGTGTTACTGAGGGCAACCTGGGGGAAGCAGGGAGGGGGGGAAGGGGGAAGAACGGGCCCGGGGGAAGCAGGGAGGGGGGAGAAACGGGGGCCGAAGAGGAGGAGGGGGAAGAGAAGGAGCGGAAAGGCAAGTGGGGAGCTGGTGGATGGCTGGGGAGGGGCTGGGCCCGGGGGAGAGACTGGTGGTGGGGCTCAGGGGAGTTTTGGTGGTGGGTTGCTGAAGCAAGGTGGTGGGGTGTTGAAACAGGGCCGGAGAGGAGCCATGGGGCATAGGGGTATCGAAGCGGCTATTGTGGTTGACTCGCCCACCTGCTTGCACCACCACCACCGGGGCTGCTCCTCTTTTGAGTCGACTCAAAACCACCACCGGGGCTGCTCCTCTTTTGAGTCGACTCAAACCACCACCGGGGCTGCTCCTCCAATCATCTCTGCCTGACGAGGAGGAAGACGTTTCCAGGAAGATGGTCCAGGATTACCAGCATCTCCTGTGCACGCATGAGGTTGTGCTACTTGCCCTCAACACTCCCTTCCCACACACTCCCCACTCCCTACTCACCACCCACCAGCCTTTGACCCACACCCTCTCCCACCCGCACTCCCCTCCCAACCGACCTCCATCACTCCCGCATTCCACAGTCATTTATGCGTATCTCCTCTCCCTGCCATATGGTTGGGTGAGTGGACCCATTCATCACACGATGCATCGTTTTTCACATGTACATGGCTTTAGATGTCTCAAAGTACATGGCCTCCTCTTATACAGTAAAGTCGTAACTACCAATGCTCGCCTCTCTGCCACACTCCCTTTTGAGGCGCCTCAGAAGCCATCCATCATACGATGCAATCGGTTACACATGTACATGGCATCCTCTTCATATTGGAAAGTCTTAGTACCAATGCTCGCCTTCTCTGCCCACCGTCGCCCTCCTCAGATGATATTTTCTGACGCGTGGGGCCCTCACGAGCCTTTCGACCTGTCAGCAGCGCTGGCAGCTTCGTCGCTCAGCCAATGGGACGACGCTGTGTCACGCCGTGCCCTGGGCTGCGGGTCGATCTCAACGTTTTATGCTGCGTGCTGTGCGTGGTGTGTGTGCTGGAGCACGTTGTCTGTGCCCACTCTGTGCGTGCAAGTG